AAAGAAAAATGTGAGTCCCCTGAGAAGAAGCTTGAGGTGAGCATAAAATCAAAAATTGGTGTCTCAATTCAGACATTCAAAATCTTTAAATCTTGCTCTACCAGATATAGTAATTCTCAACAAAAGAAGGGGAAATGATAAAAAAAAAGAAATCAAAGCAAAAAGAAAAGTCTCCCTGAGAAGAAGCTTGAGGTGGATGTACAATCAAAAATTGGTGTCCAAATTTCCCCTAATTAATAAGACTTGGAATACTCTCTTAAGAAAATTTTCAGGATATTATACTCAGGAAAAAGTTCAGCGATCTTGAGTCTTTTGGTTGGTTATTAATTGATTCAGAAATATCTTTGGAAAGTAAAAAATATTTTGATCACACGACCAAAATTTTGAAATCTGCTTAAGCTCAGAAAGAAAGAATTAAAGAAATGACGATGATATTAGGAGTTAATGGAAATTCAATCCTGAAGTCAAATCCTTCTGCGCCCAAAAAATACAACTTCAGCAACAATTCGAAAAACGTCAGAGTTATTCCTGAACAACTTTTACAGAATCAATGTCAAAGCAAGCGACAACTACTACAACGATGTAAAAGCAACGGTAGTAGTTGTCGCTTGCTTTAATGATCAACTACTGATTTCAAACTAATACAAACATCAAAAAAAGTAAAAGATAGGTACATATAGAAATAAAAGAAAAAACTCAAAAAACCACCAAGGCGTTGAAAAAGTGTGGGTCATCTCAATCTAGTCTTGCCTCTAGCTCTAATTCTCGGTAGGGATCCAGCTAGCAGATTGGTAAGATACTGATCATTACCCGTAGTAACCAAAGTATCATCCATAATACTCCTGAGCTCTAGTAGATCTACATTCTTCTTCTTCCTCCAAGAAGTGTAAACCTGTTATTCCTCCTCCGAAGAATCAGCATGATGGGATAGAGCTTAAGAAGAAGAATTACCAATAGTAGTACCCACGGTAGGTTCTGGAATATGTGAAGTATGAGTTGCCGCTACACCGGATACTTCTTGAAGAAGTGGAGCTGCGAGGCTCTTCTGATTATCAGTCTAAACACCATCATTTATAGGTAAGAGTCCATCAATATTGTTTTGTATGGATTTTGTAGGTGTCGGCATCTCATCACTCGTAGTAGCAGTAACAACAGTTTCATGGGAGGATCCTCAGGGGCAACAGACACCTCATGTCTGGTAGTATCCTCCTCAGGTAAAGCTAAAATGTCCACAGCAGTGGGGTTAGACCCATCCTTATTTACTTGAACCTTAGATTTCACATTAGGATGACGTTTGTTGCATTTAGCAACGTTTGATGACGTTTGTTGCATTTAGCAAGGATATGACCAAACATCTTACAGTGTGTACAATATGAGGGTTTGTGTACCATGATGATTTGTTGTCAATAACCATTATCGGTTATGCCCAGCCAAACTTCAGCAATATCAGGTAAAATAATATCCTTTTTCACAAGTATTCTGGCCACCGAGGGTATGATTAGGTTGAAAGTAGGCAGTCTAGTTTCAAAGGATCCCCAAGAATGACCCCAATAGATTAGAGAACCTGATGGTGAAAAAATGCAGCTTGAGACCAAGTAAACTAAACCATACCGGTACAGTGGGAGTTTCATGATTTGGGTCGAAATTAGGAGACCACTTGAGTAACTTCATTGATTTGCCTTCGATATTAAGATATTTCTTGGAGAAAATCTTGATGTAGTCTTCAGCCACTATTAGTTGGATCAACACATGTCTCATATCCATGAGTCTCACTTTCCACTTGCCTACTAACTTAAGATCATCAACATCTTTTCGATAACATCCATAGAAGGGTGCCCCCATTGAAATTTGCCAATAAGAGCAAACTTGAATTTTTCCGTCATAGTAGATATTTTTGATTCAGAGAAAAAAATTGATTTTTTTCCTCATTTCCTACTTCCCTTCTTAATAAAAGGACAATCATCTGCACCATCATGACATTCCTTATAACTTGAGGTGAATACCACTGCGGACTCCTCCTGAGGGTTACCCACCACGCAGGCAAATGAGACTTTGTCCGGCACAAACAAAGAAGAAGGAAACACCATCAGAGGTTGTAGGCGTTGAACTGTTGCGAGGTTGCTGAAAGGCAGGCTGAGGAGCTGTCGGGCGCTTGAATTTTTCCATCAGAGTGAAAATTTCTGATTCAGAGAAAAAGATTGCTTCTTTTCCACATTTACTACTCTCATTCTTACTAAAAGGACAATGATCAGTGCCCACACGAGATTCCTTACAACTTGAGGGGAATCCCACTGCGGACTCCACTTGAGGGTTACCCCCCACGGGGGCAAAGGGAGACTTTATTCGGCTCCACCATAGAAGAAGGAAATGCCATCAGAGGTCAGAGGTTGTGGTTAAACTACTGTCAAGTGCAGAGGAGCTGTCGGGCGGGCGCAAAAGCAGCAGCGCCGAAGTCGAAACAGGAGCAGAAGCAGAGCAGCGCCGAAACAGAAAAAAAAGGGCGCAGACGAAGTTGTGAGTAGCGATATCGAGCAGGTGTAGCGATGTCGATGGACGACGACGCGCACAGTGGGCAGCGACGTCGACGCCGACGAAGACACAGACGGATGGAGCGAGAGTCGATGATTCCTCTCCTTCCAGCGGTATCAATTGCGACCGAAATTGCCATTGGAAACCCTAGCGGAGCTCTCGAGCGTAGCCAATATTCTCCCTTCTTCAGTTGAACCCTAACAAGCAAAAAAATTTAACAGGTGAGAGCTCTGGCTCGGCTCAACACCCGCACGCCTTCTTCCTTCGCACGTTAATTCTCTCCACTGCACTCGGCTCCTCGCACAAACTATCACAGCTCATTCTTCCTCCCTTTCTTCTCCTTCGACTTGGTCAATCGAGATCAAGAAGAATACGGAGCACAAGGATCCTCTCCCGTACGAGCTCTCTACACCCCCTTCTCTTCGACCTAGCCACACTCACTGCAGCCACAAGATCATGGAAGTTCCGCTTCCCTCGTCGACTCTCAAGTAAGTCGTTTGCAACTCTTTATAAGCGATGTTCACCTCCTTGGCTTCCCGACACTTCTCGCTTCATCTCCTCCCTTCATTATTTTCTCAACCCCTCCTTTCCTCTTCCTCAATTCTTCATTTCCTCTTCTGCTGCTCAATTGTTCGATTACTCTCCGCTACCTTCGTTTCATCCCCATGCAACTAAAACTAGCTTTTACATAACTACGCGCTCACACAAAGTGAATCATGCAACGGCTTAAGGGAATTACACAATGAAGTGGATTACACAGTAATCTAACATCAATCGGAGTTCTATTCCAAGGATAAAAATGAGGAAGCGCCAAAGCATGCGCTCATATTATTTCACGGAGTTTTATCCATAGTAATTTCTACCCCAAATAGCAATTCTAGAATTCTTATCATGAGGATTTCACCGCACGATCACAGGTTAGATACTAAATTATCAAATCAAGGAAGCTACATTTCCTTCAATACATAGAATAAAATTGCAGTAAAATTCTTATCACAAAAAACCACCATGCATTTGCAGAATAACAAAGAATATCTAATTTAAATTACATGTGAAAAGTAAAATATAACGAGGTGATCTAACTAAATTACCAACAGCACAAAACATCCTTCATCCTTAGCTTAAAAGCCTCAAAAAAGCTAAATAATTCTGACATAGATGATAGAGATGTATGGATTGGGCCTTAAACGGGAGCATATTCATGTCCTGGAACAAATCATACTTAATAGCATTCATAAACTTATAATAACTTTTATATTATAGAGCTAATTGGATAATAAGACATACATTACCAACAAAAACTGATCTGCAATCCACCTCCTCCCTATTTGCTCCAGGTGCTACAACATTTGCAGGATCTATCAACATGATCCAGGAGAAAAAGTTGGTCAAAATGCGAGAATAAAATTATGAGCAGAAGAAAACAAGAGGAAGCTTTCATATTCTGTTGTAATTGAAAAATTATGCGTATAGCAAAAACAAAATGGTAAAAACATAATATAATAAGAAAAGCAAAAACCAAAATACAAATAGCAATTACAATACAGTAAAAGGGCTAAAATGAGCTTCAACAAAACCATTTACAATGATTATTTCTTAGAAAAGGTGAAATATTAAAAAAAAAGTGAAAGGTTAGAATACAGAATAGAAATCATGTTCTTATCCAAGTCTGAAAGATAGAGACACTTTTTATTCTTCCATTAGTTATCTAAAAAGATAAGGATACGATTTAATTTCCAAAGCAATTTTTACCAACATGTAAATTTTAGGCAGTCATCTAGATATGCTTGCTGCATCTCTGCTTCCCAAAAGGTCACAGCTTAAGGAGATCCCACAAAATTTGCAATTTGACATTGATAACTAACTGAATATCTCTGACATTGGATCAGAAAAAGGAATGCAAGAAGTGGATACATTTCTGTAAAACTCTCTTGGATATAAAATACGCCAGCTTATGTTTTCACCTCTTAGCATATAAACCTCCCAAATTTTGATCTTCAACTAGAAGAATAATCACGTATACAGAAAAAAAGTACATAAAGTATGCTAAGCAAAAGAATGCAAAACTACAGCTAGAATTAAGGAAATATAATAGGTTGCGGAAACTAACAAGACCACAAAAGTTTATTTAAAACCTAAAATGAGACTAATTCCGTAGGACCATAAGGACCCTATATGTATCCAAAAAATCTAACCAACTTCTTAGTGGTTAATGCAATTCAGTGTACCTAAATGATGCCAACAATCCCATAGATGTGAGGCCTACAATGCCACCCATGCATGACCTTTGGAATCAATGTGGTAGTGAGATCCCTATGTTATCAAGCCTTTAGTGGGAACAATTTAATAAGTCAACCTCAACTTCATCATATGTCCAATGACCAGTAGAATCATGATCAGCTATGGCCCATATACAACCAGTGGAGCATGGCATACAGACCCTTAAATGGAGCAATAATTCTTAGCACTAGCTACCCACGACCTTCAGGACATGGTTGGCATAGAATAGCTCACCCCCTATAACACCCTACTAGAAGGCTCTACAAAAGTAATAGCAACATTTTGGGAACAAGATACTTGGCCAAAATGTAACTGTGTGCACGCCATTCAAATATCATCAAACTACTGTAGTGACTTTGAAAGCAATTGTAAGTCAATGCTGGACTACAAAGAAATAAAACCTAAGAAAAATGTATAAAATTTCAAAAGTTCTTTACCCTGAGTGCTCTAGAATATTTAACATCCTAAAATTAAAAAATCTCATATCAAGTCGGGTGAGGTCAGTGTGAGCCTACCCTCAGTCATCACTGAATGTACAGAAAGAAATCAGTGAAAAAACCATGATATACACCTAAAAAACTTCCAAAGCTTGTATGAAAGCACTATAATTGGGTGTTTATGTTAGAGAATGAGGACTGAAATTGAGTCAAATAAGTGGTCAAACACATTTTGAGGTTTTTAGTGTGGCCAACAATTTGGTATCCCTACACAAATGTAATTTTCAACCATCCAGAGTGAATTGAAAATCTATCACATGGGAACTAGAAAAATCGGCCATAACTCCCCCTTAAGTGGATGATTTTTAACTGGATTGAAAATCAAATATCAAGAGCTCACTCAATCATCTAAAGGCATTATGATAGTAACCTGATCTTGAACATTCCTCAATCTTTGTAGAAGCTAACCAAGTCTTATGGGAATCATAAACCACGTGACCTACTCAATCCTAGCAAAACTATTGCTCTGATATTACTTACTACAGAATATCAGCCAAAAGATGATAAAAGTTAGGCCAAATACACCAATAGTCAAACTCATTTTCAAACCAAAAGATTAACTTTATAGGTGAAGCCAACCACTTGATATTTTTATACTGCAATATATTTCAGGCATCGAATGTGAGACAAAATTCCAAACTCTCACATGTCTTGATAGCATATATGGTCAATCAGCGTTACTCAGACAATACATTAAATTTGCATATGTTTTAAGCCTTAAATTTAAGTTTTTGCACTAACTGAATCTCTGAAACATACAGTATTGTTCTACACAAGTACAGGGCTAGCGGAGAAAAGAATAAAAGGGTGCCCTTTTAACAAAATTTAAACTATTCAAATCCCTCCAAACGAATTCTTTAAAATTTTTCATTTGCCAAACATTAAAGAAGGATTTACATCCATTCCACAAAAAATTTTATATATCTACATATATAATACCAAGATTTTAATATCACTTTACAACACTTCAATATTTGATTTCATCAAAACATATGCGTGCCAAAGAGCATTTCACTTTAAAAGAGTAAATGTTAATAATATTTTTATGTAATTTAAATTTCTTAGAATTATATATAAAAATATCATAATTTCTGCGTTAGTTATGTGAATACGTAAAAACAATGAAGTAAATGCCCCAACATTAAAACCATTGGGTTTTCGTTATCTGCAGCGTGAGTTCAAGCTTGGTTTTCTCTCTCTTAAAGATGGAAACCCCATCTTTCAGACATCCCCGATCTATTGGGCTGCAAACCCCATTCATGAGCCTTCATTGTCTATCAAAGTTTTCTGTAATGCTATTAGGCTTCCCTTCTCGCAAGTTTGTAAATCCCAAAAAGCCTTCTCCATGATGAAAGACAAAACATAAGGCCAAGTTTATGGCCTGATACAAAATTATGGCCTCTTTAAACCTTCCTGCATGACGTAATCTGTATATTTTAAAATAAACACAAATGATCCAATTAACCATCAAGTCTACTGAATTGGAGAGTTGCTTACAGTAAGCAAGTCTACTAAATCAAGTAAAATGGTGGAGAAACATCAAACTTACAAGTGCAAATGATTTGGTATTAACCCACCAACCCTAATCAATCATTTCGAGTGAGCTCAATGCTCATCGAAGTGTTGCATCCAACCTATGCCTAAGCCACCTCATGATGAAGGGTGAACTCTCACCTGAAACGCAAGCTTAATTCAAATATCCCTTCCCAACGCATCCTATGGATATAAAATAAATTCCTCTATTGGAGATTGAATCACCTTAGAAGCAAGAAATTAATCATCAATGAGCAACTACATCATCAAATGCCTAATATGGATATACATAGAAAATAGTGACAATAGCAAAAAATTCACATAAACCAAGTGGGTTCTTCAGTCATTCCCTTTTCAAGCTAAGCCCAAGTATGCTCTTAGATGATTGAATTGATAATGTCCTTCCTCTGAGTCATCATGAGTCATGTCATTCCTCTAAACCATAATTAAAAATGACTAATGCCTTTGAGCCACAATCATCCATGCTGTGGGCCTCTAATTCACTTAAAAAAGAAGCTCCACTGCATGCTTACAAGCCATTGTCAATCATTTTTAATAGCACTAAACAGCAACCAGTCATGCTTTGTCCCTTAGAAGCCTATTCAAGCCAAAATGAATTCCAAACTTCAGCAAGAAAATATATATCCTTTGGCAAATAATCACTCTAGTCTACTCAAGATATCTGAGAGAAGAAAATTCATGATAGCTAATCAGGCTTCTTTGAAGTTCAGACATAAGCCCTCTGCCATTGGTAGATTAGATCTACTAGGCCTACTTACGGTAATGGAACCATGAGATTTTTAATCTGAGTGACCACTAGTCCCCTTTTATGATAATTTTTTACCTAAAGTGATTATATCATACTAAATCAAGAGTATTCTTTACCTGCGTGTGAGAATGCAATTGACCATGTAGGTATGTAATCATAAGAGATCATAGAATCCCAAATTTTGATAAATTCTAATCAACTGACTAAAGGAAATCTCTGAAAAACTTGCCTAAAACTCATAATTCTTTTCAAAAACTCCTTAAGAGTGTAATACAATCAAAGAGCGTGAGCCTTTTAGAGCTCACACCCAATCCTAAAACAAAAATTTTAATGAGAAAGAAGTTGACACATTCAAGAATTTAAGAAAAAAAACAATAAAAAATAAAGGATAAAATCATAAAACAAATTACTAAATGGTTCTAAATGAGTGGATGTTGACAAAGAACAAAAAATACATCTTATTGAAAATTAAGAATCACATTATTAGAAAGAATAATTGTCTTCTAAAGTTCGTGAAAAGGTGAAGATATTTCTCTTCTATGATTTTTAAATGAGTGGAGAACCTATGAACCACATACACTCATAAAAACCTTCTAACAAGAATCATATCCATGAGTAGGTACACTTTGACATTTCCTCATATGCCTTCCTAAGTCTTGGACTTTACTTTTTGTAGCTTAAACAAACTCCCATAACCATCAAATATTGATAATCATGAAAAGCATTATGAAAATTCCCTAAGGAACAATAGCAAAATTTAAGTTGTTGGCATGAAATATCACCCCAAGAACTTAAATTATTACAAGAAAGGCCAAGTAAAATCCATTAATAAAAATTTGGATCTATCTTAGATTGTTCGTCAAATTATTACTCAATATCTTTATTTTGTGATGAAAAAAGATCAAAGTAAGTCCCCTGGAATTGGTTGCAACTTAATTGAATGTGATAGTTGTTGTGCATTGTCAAAATCAAAGATAAAAATGATTTAGGGTCTGTTTGGGGTAGCTGCAACTTCTCAGCATTTTAGCTGCAGCTGCGCTGCCCCATAAAACTGCTGCGGGGAAGCTAGTTATCTCTTTGTTGCAGCTATGTGAAAACAGGTGTGGGGCAACCGTTTTAGAAAAAATGATCATTCTACCTATGTTTAGTAAAGGATTTAGGTTAGATCCTTCTGCAGGAACACCTGAATTGAGGGAAAAGATTATTTTGGCTGTTGCAGAAGGATCTAACCTAAATCTCACAGAATACGAAATCATGCTTCTTCCCCATTTTACTTACCTTAATGCCAAATTAGTAAATTCGAGTAAATTCATAAGTCTCACGAACACGTCTTCTCCCTCACACGCCGTTGGTCCCGTCGATGCCTTCTTCTCCGGCGAGCTCCTCGCGACTTCCACACTAGAGAAGAGGGGGAAGAGGAGAGAGAAGACCGGATCGGGCCAGCAAGGTAAAAGGAATACGAGAAACGTCGGCGGCGGGGTATAACCTATGGCCAGCTTTTTTTTTAAATCCGCCGTGCCTCTCACTTGTAGCTCCCCCGCCGCCGCGTCAAACGAACGAAAACAGCGGCAACTTGCGCGCTGCTCTCCCACAGCTGCGCCAAACGGGGCCTTATATTTAAACTATCCATACATTTTAAATTTGTCACTATAGCCATGCTTGAAGAGTATAAGTTCAGCTATACCATATGGGGAGTTTAGATCAACATTGAAATTTTTTTGTGAAACTTCTCATGCTAACTATAAGCATGCAAAATTCAAAGAATATTTGGTCTCTCAGCTTATTTTGTAAAATTTATCAGCCATATTTGAATGCTTGATTTAGTTTTGATTAGAATTAGATCAAGATATTCTTGGTATTATTAAATTTATCTCATCAAGATGCTCTTATCTACAATAAGTTTGGTGAAAATAGAGTCCAAATGGTCTTGAAGTCGATTACATAAGTTTTTAATTCAAATACTTAGGTGCTTTAAGATCAAAAAATTGCATCAAGATTTATGTTTCACCTTAGGATTGTCCGGTGACTTAACAACTATTACTTCATGTGCTCAACACATTCCCACATAGTTAGCACTTCTTTATAAAGGTAAATTGCTTTTGTTGATCTCAAAACCCTCGGTTTATGAGCTATCTCCAAAAAAAAAATTTTGTCATAGAAGCAATGTAAGAAATCTACAGAAAACTAGATTCATTATCTATATTTGCACAGGACTAAATCTAATTATGGCATAAATCCTAGCAGACCGTAAAGACTAACAAAAACAAGAACAAGGATTTGAGCAAGAAGTGTTCAAAGACAATCTATACAGGCTTACTTCGTTCAGAGTGATTGAAATCAGTGTCAGAGCTTGCTTTGATAAGTTATACATGTTTGGTTTATTACTATGTAACAAATAATATATATATATTTTTTAAACTAATAATTTTAATTGAATAAATTTTTGTAACCTAGTAGTCAATCAAAATTTTTAGAAATACTACTCATATACATACATATATATATATATATTGCCATTGTGATGATCTTACATTTAACCGCAGCCCAAAAAATAAAACTAAATTGTCCTTATATAGTTATAGCTTAAAAAGCCACAACGCATACCGATATCATCTCCTAATAACATAATATTATATCGTTCCAATACTGGAAGCATAAATAGTTATAGCTTAAGGGTTTAGGGTTTAGGGTTTAGGGTTTAGGGTTTAGGGTTTAGGGTAGTTATAGCTTAAAAAGCCACAACGCATACCGATATCATCTCCTAATAACATAATATTATATCGTTCCAATACTGGAAGCATAAATACGAGACATATGAATAAACTAAAAAGAGATGCAGCTTATTATTAAAGCATGTTAAAAACAATAATAATACTAAAGAAAGAAGGCGAACCTTGCGTGGCTCCCATCTCCCTCTCAACCTTGGCCTGCATTTCACGAAGCGCGGCAGCTTCCTCCTCCATATCCTTCAGACGCTTCTTCATTTCGCCGAGCTCCTGCAACCAGAACAAAAACCATATAGAGTCCATAGCAACAACCATTAGTTTCGAATTAGGAATTGGGAACAGCTAGGGTTAGATTTAGATCAGGAAACAGGAATTTCAGAAACCTTGAGGGCGTCGACATCGACCCTTGCTATCTCGACGTCGGCGTTCAGTGTCTCCATATCGGTCTCCATCTCCGTCACGTCAGGGATCTCTGCACCATACACCTCGTGCTCGTCTTCGTCCATCTCCCGTTCGCTTCTAAGATTGCGGGTGCTACTAGCCCAATTATACGTCACGCTGGTTACAGGTGTTGCTCCTCAACCTGCCTAATTATTTGTGGATTAGTTTTTTTTAAATGATTTGCTATAAATAACTTAATTTTATGATACTAGAAACGCAATCCAGTCATTTAATTAATGGATCACAAGTCCTTCCCAGATTAATATTTTAAATGTTTTTTAAATAAAGTTTAGTTATTTATTATTATAGATTTTTTTACATATATAATATTAATGGATGCTAAAAAATTTAGGACAATAAAGTGATAATTTAAGTATTCACGAATATACTCCATATACACAAATAAAAGAAAAAGTTGTGAGATAACATACTAATTTTTCTTACTTGAAAAAAATCTTAAAAGGGAAAAAAGGCAATGGGGACTCGTCCTGTCAAAAAGTAATGCTCTAAATGTTTGTAAGTATAAGAGTATGACATTCTCTCACTACAAAGAGAACAGGGTTACAATCTATCACTAAACGTTGGTTAATCTACTATGATTAAAGTACTATAAGGAAAACAAAAATTAGATTTAAAAAGTTTAAAATGTATTTTCTCATTTCTCATTTTAAAATTAATAAAAACTACTAAAAATTAGAAAAAAATAATATAATTTAAAAAATTACCAAAATGGGCCAAATTGAAGGTTTTACGAGGCATCTGTAAAAATTTAAAAGTCATAATTTTTTTTTAATGTAAAAACATATTTTTCTAAGTAAATAATAATTTTAGCTTAAAATAATTATATAAATTAAAATGATGAACAAAAAATTATAAAATTGGTTTGGAGTTTTCTTTGAAACCAGAGACACTCAAGAAAAATAAAATTAAAGCTAAAATAAAAACATCATTTTTAAGCTATTTTTTAATTTTAAAATAATTAATAATATCAAAAATTATCAAAAATATGAAAATATACCAAATTATCCTAAGTATCATCTTAACGACAGATAATAACTTAAAGATGTGTTTGTAAATATTCAAAGGTGTAAAAATGTATTTTTAATAGTCAAATACATTTTCTTACTTTGTGAATAAAATAATTATAAAAAAATAAAAAATGTCAAAAATAGAAAATAAATTTCTTTGACTTTTTTAAGTCAGATGGACCTAGGAAAAATTAAAAAAAAAATAAATTTTTGAAATAAAAACATGTTCTCTATTTATTTGCTCATTAAAATCAATTAAAATTTATGAAAATAAAAATATAATTTTAAAACTCACGAAAAATATTCTTGGAGATCTTCTGACCTATGTGACCCTCCAATAATTTTCTTGATGATAGAAAATTTGTTTTACTTTATTAAATTAATTATTCTTGAAAATTCCTATTTTTAAGCTAAAATAATTATTAAAATTTAAATATAAATTAGCAAAATATAAATTCCCCTCTGGTATTTTAATGAACCCATGAGTACGATAACAACAAAAAGTTATTTGAGTTAAATTTAAAGAATTATAAAGTAGAAGGCCTTACAAGCAAAATGCTAATTATTGAATTTTGAACTTTAATTAAAATTTTGGTCAAACCAAAAGGCCAATGGGTGATATTGATCATAAGTAACTCTTTGAAAGTATTGAAACATAAATGGTTAAATGCTAGAAACTAATTTATGTTATTTTATATAAAAGGGAAAAAAGTAATTTTCAAAATTGTTGTGGTTTGGAAGTTAATTAAGTTGGATGATTTTAATGTGAAGGGCTTGGGTTAGGAAGATGATAATCCACTAATTTGAAGCCCCAAATAAATGATTAAAAGATAGTACAATATTTTAATAAGGATTAATGTTATTGTACTTAAACCTTTTTTCAAAATTACAAATCTATCCTTAAGGTATTTAAGAGCTTAGTAGTGAATTAGGTTTGATCTAGAGCCACTTAATGAGATTTAGAAAAGAAAACACAATCAATTACAACCTCTTTAAAACACTACAAGCTCAATTTCATTTAAAGAGATGATGATTTCTTAACAACTTAATTTGCACTTAAAGGCGTCTATCCGTATAATTCCTAAATAAAACATCAAATGAACGTCTAGTTACCTTACTTATGGGATAATTAAAATATTAAAGTTCACTAAGCATAATTAGAACACCCCAACTAAATCCTAATTTAATAAGGGATGATTAATTCAATAAGATGATAAGTCAAAGTGAACTCGAAATGATTCAGAGGGTTTAAAGGATGTTAGGGTCATGCCTCGAATATTTTTACACTTCTTTGGATATTTTGAAGTATATTTGGATCTATTATGCTTTGTTTAAGAAAATCATTCTCAAAGTCGTAGAGATCTACCAAGATATGACTTGGGACCCTTTAATTCACACTTCCAATAAAATACCCTACACTACTTATTGATGCGGGCGGATTTAGTGTGTTATTTTTGTAAATATTTTTCAATATTACAAAATACACACGACATATACAACAGTAAATATACAGTTTAATCCTAACAAATATAAATTTAGTGAAAATAATTTTGTCTTTTATAAATCTTTAAACTACCAAATCTCCTAAAAAATAACGCAAGTATACGTATCGCTTAAGTAATAAAGGGCTCAAATAAAGTTCTAGACATCGATGCCACAGGGAAGTTGGAAATGTCTATAGATAAATTCTTATGATTATAATTTAAACTACAATTTAAACAATAAAAGTGAAGTACGAAATTTGAATCTAAAGTAATTGAGTGAATGCGAATGTTAAATAAAATGCAGTTGGAAGACTATATTAATTAAGTTAATTGCTAAACTTTAAAAAGTAAACTTACGAAAACTAAACAATATTTTTGTGGTGAAGAGTTCAAATTTAAGAAAACATCATTCTCATTTACAATGAGTATATGAATTGTGAAGAAATTAAAATCATTTGAAAAAAATATACATATATAAATTTTTTTGTGTCGAATAGGAGCAATTTTACCCTCTTTCAAATGCATAAAGAACATTGACTAATCCATATTTTGGTCCCTAATTTTGTGGTTAGGCTGGGAGGATATTGGTTGTCACTCCAGAGCTCGCACTACTCCCCCACCTTAGGGCTAACAATCTCGCATTAGTTTTCAATCAACTGGGCCAAATTGGGATTCAATTTGTCACTTTTGTTGGCATCAACTTTTGATGTGACGGATGTAGAGTGTCCACCTACATGATCCAGGATAGCTTACGACCGGTCCATAGCCATCCAATCATTAGACACCCACCTGAGACCTTACGGTGCGTGTTGAGGGGCACATTTTCGGAGTCATTTTGCTAGGCTTTGGCTTTCACTTAGGCGAAGGACGGTCAGCATTTAGTACGTCGGACGACTTCGTTCGAGACAACAAATATTATACGTCGCGTCACACACGAAATTAGTCTGAATTGGCCCAATCATTAGCGAGGTTGTCCAGATGACCCCGGACGACGAAACGGACTGCGCGATCACGTCCGGAACGTTGATTTAATAAAGAAAGGACGTTCAATTAGCTACGACTTTGCGGGCGAGCCTAAAATACGTGAAATATTATTTTAATCCGATCGTCAAAAAAGTGGTATGAGACAACCCCAAATGACAAAATGGATTACGCGGTTGCGTCTGGAACGTCAATTTTACCTAACAAAAACCCTCATTTTGTCGCGAGGACGTGTCTAGGCGAAAAATACGTGGAGGATAGTAATAATAATATAATAATTATATGTATGTATATGTATCTATAAATAT